AGAATAATCTTCTTCCTCTTTTTTTCTTGGGTTTGAATCATGGCTGAAAATTTGAAATAGTCAAAGTTACACTATAGTCATGATATGTGTAATAATACTTTGAGTCGAAATAATTTGAATATTGTTGCGAAAGAAAGCGATCGAACAGTAAAATTGACAGAATAAGGAAATAAATCGGACACCAGATTTACGTGGTTCGGTCGTAGTGACCTATATCCACGAGGAGAGCAGCAACGAATTTCACTATAAATCAAGCGATATAATGGAGATTATAACCAAACTTTAAGTGTTTCTTATGTCCCAATTACACGTAACAACTCACGCAGTGTTTAGTCTCATAATTTCTCACGAAATAATATCTCAATCTCACGAAGAAATTAACAAATCTTACTATAAGATTTTAGCTGTCAAACATTAACTAATCAGGATGTAATTTTTGACGATTTTCGGACAATTCACCCAAAAACAAACTCTTTGAGAATATTTATATGCATAAGCCACAACCAAGGACAAGGAGATATGTATTGGTCAAAGAAGTCAACACCGAATATTGGCAGGAAAAGAAATTTCCTTTTTTTCGTTATTTTCTTTCTTCGCCTGATACATTAACCGAGTCAAGGTCAAATTCAAAGTCCCACGTGGACTTTCCAATTCAGCCCAACGACTCTGCATGTTGATAAAATTGATGTCTGTATATTTCCTCTCTGCAGTAAATTTCTTTCTTTTTTATTAATTTCCAAAATTCAGGTTTTCGTTTCGAACTCAAACTCGAGATATAAATAATCATAGACATATCATAATTCGCCTTCTAAATTTCTCTACATGATGTAATGAAATTCTATTTGGTCCTTAAGGGAAAGGGCCATCGACACATTACTCAGTAAACTAATGGAGTCGACGAATCTTAATATACCTAGCATTGCTCTAATAATTTATGAGTTAGGTAGTACTCATGGAAATAGTTTGTGATCGAGTATCGGGGCACAAGGTTAGTACTCATGAAAAGTTAAGGGGATGAGTGTGAAAACACTCTTAATGAAGTTCAAGATTTAGCAAGGCAAGGCTAAGGCAATAAGTTAGGAACTCCACCTATATGAACAGAAGACGTGGTGCCGCTTCTAATAAAAGTCGGATGAATTTTTGTAAATGTTCATGAATGCAAGAGGAAGTACATGGCTGTAAAAGTGCCAAGGCATAAGAAATTTCTAACCAAATGTGTGTAAGTTCATTTGTGCAATAATTCGATTAACAAATGGAATCATGGTTCAAAGTTTTATCTAACACCAATTTCGTATAGAATTGTTTACACTAATTGAATGTTCAAATCTTAATAGTTATTGTCCTGTATGAATGAATTTATATAAATTAGTATAGATAACAAAATAAGTGGGGGATTGTTGGAGTGGTTTGTTGTCATCAAAAGACGTGATTGTTGAACACGAATAAAAAGGTGATAGTTTGATATAAAAAGAAGTCATTATTTGTTGACACCTAATTTTTGCCTATCCGTTTAAGGTTTAATCGCACGAAAATTAGGAATTAATTTTTAACCTCTAAAAAAAATATATTTTCTCATTAAATTGCATAGCATATAGACATTAGGAGGATTTGCATTGATAATATTAAAAATTATTAAAATTTGTTTGTTAAAAAAAAAAACGGGGTCGGTTTGGACCCGACCCTCCTGAACTTGGGCCCCCTCCTTCTATACTTTTCACCTGGCCCAACTCAACCTCCTTCTTTCCTTCTCTCTATCCTTTCAGCCACGGCCCGGCCCTGTCTCCTTCCCTTTCTTCTTAGCCCAACCCCAACGCACCTTCTTCTCTGATTTCTCTCCCTCACGTGAAAGACAAAACAGAAGGACACTCTGCACGAGGAGGGCGATAGTCGAGATTTCAGAAGGGGAGAAGCGATGGCACAGCGCTGCATCCTGGTAACACAAGAACCCAGGAGATCCTGCGACCGTTTCAGCAAAGAAAGGGATCTGATCCAATCCCAAACACGAGGACCCGGCTGCTGGGGTATACAGAGATAGAGAAGCCGCGCTGATCAATGGCGTCTTCGAGCTGGAGATGGAAGGGGAAGGCGGTTGGCGTGGTTGACTAGCAAAAGCCGTCTGGAAGAGGACAGAGAGCGAGGGGGGAGCGCACAGAGAGAGAACGAACAGAGAGAGGAGAGCCGAGAGAGAAGGGGAAAAAGAAGAGGTTTTTTTGCTCGCTCGCGGGTGGTCCGTTTGAGTCGCCATTGTTCCCGTTGAAGGCTCCACCTACCGGCCACCATTCGTCGCCAAACAGCCCCACGAACCAGGTAGGCCCGGTCTAATCCTGCTCTGTTTCGGCCTCCCTTCCCCTGCCTCTCGGGTACCGGGCACACCGAACCTATTCGGTGGTCGCCCGGCCCCGTTAATGGAGGCTTACACTTGCTTCGCTCTCAAACAAGTCGTTTTAAACGTCGCGTGTCAAAAAAGTCCATGAATCTCGTTAAAATCAGCCCTGTAACTCCATTTCCTAGCCGCCTATCATCCGTTTGACCAAATGTCTCAACCAGACCGTTTAAGCTTTAGAGTGTCAAATCTGGTCGTGTAATTTTTTGGCGTTTCGATGCAAACTGACATGAACTCGTGACCAGATATGGTTGTTTAGAGCTTTACACATCACGTTTGAGCCAAAAACCGTTTTGAATCTCGGTCTAAAATCCATATCCGACCCCACCTACAAACTGTTCGACAAAATATCGAAATGAAACTCCGAATCTGTTTTTGCAAAACCGACGCTCTAAAACTTTGGTATATGCACGGTTTGTTCTAATATGGTCACTGACTTCAAGTTTCTTTTGTTTTTCATGTGATTTTGTCGCGATTCACACATCGTCCGAGTTGCCGTGCTTGCATCTCCCCTCCGTCGGAAGGCTTTTCGTCAACGTGATGACTGCGGTTCGAGGCCGCCGCCGCCCGTTAGTTATTTTCTATCCCATTTCGTGTATGTCATGTTGCTTAGGCTTAATGTTTTTCTGGTGGCCGTGAGTTTGGGGGGCCGGGAAATCGACTTCTTGCTCGCCGACTCATTTTCGTGGTCGGGGTTAGTCGACAGTTCGGTGGCCGCGTTGGCCCGGCGGCGAGGGTGTAGAACCGGTGGCAGTCGTCGGTGTCGGCCGCGCAAGCCGATGGTCAGGGGGCGGTGAGGTTCCTGGCGTTGTCTCGATGAAGGCATGAAGAAGGAGTTCTCGGCGAGTACGTGAAAGCAGAAGACCACGCACAGTAGAGGGGAGAGAGAAATAAAAAATAAAGAGAAAAGAAATAGTGAAAAAAAAGGATAATAAAAACAGAGGAAAATAGAAAAAGAAATGAGAAAATTAGAAAAGAAGATTGAAAATTCGGATGTAATCCGGGCGGGTCGGACCGCTGAGTCAGACCGGGTCCTCTGACCCGGTCCGAGGTCTTCTTTTATTATTCATTAAAAAAATTAAAAAATTAAAATTTTCAGAAAAATTCCGAAAGTTCAGAAAAATTCGGAAATGTTTAGAAATCAGTTTTTGAGTTAATTTCATTAGATTTTAGCGTTAATTTCATTCTAGACTTAGGCTGTGTTCGTTTGGGGAAAAATATTTTTTCGGAAAATATTTTCCGTGTTTTCCAGTGTTCGGGGGCGGAAAATGTTTTCCGTAGGAAAACATTTTCCTTCCCCACCCCCAAATCTTTCATTGTTTTGAGGAAAATGATTTCCTCTTTTCACAAAGAGGAAATCATTTTCCCCCAAATTGAAGGCAAAATTGACCATGGGAGGTAAAATATTTTCTGTGGGAGAGGAAGTTGATCGTCGGTTACCACCATTGGCCGTCGGTCGCTGGCCGCCCGCCGCCGCCGCCGGCGGTCGCCGGCCGCCGCCGCATCCGGTCGCCGGTGAAAAATATTTTCCGAAACTTTTTCATATTGGTCGCCGAACACCGGAAAATTATGTTCCGGGAAAACATTTTCCAGGAAAATGACTTCCGGGAAAATATTTTCCAAAAGGATAATATTTTCCGCCAAACGAACGGATTAGCATAGAAATTTTTTTTGAAAACCTTTAAAAATTGCTTCAAAAATCGAACAAGCCATTATGGCTTTACCTTGGGACTTTTGATTGCCTTTTCCTTTTTAGAGATGATGGTAGGTTATCGGTTGTTTATTTTCATGCCGACTATTTGGTTGCACACCTTTAATACATTAGTTGTTATTTTCCATTTCTAGCATGGTTAGGATAAGCTTTAGGCTTCTCGATAGACTGCCATGGTGCATTAGTTAGCAAGCGGTCAAGTTTAGGTATTGAAATTGCACTAGTTAAATGACTAGTGTAATCAAGTCCATAATCCTTAGAATATCTGGTTGTGTATATGTCGAGACAACACTTCCGCATTTTGATTAGGGTTTCTGGCCAACCCTTGATTATGGCTAGTGGCAACTCTAATTGAATACATAGTTTAGATGATTTTCGTTGCATGAGGTATGAGGTTTGGGAGCACCTCGGTCCTTGGATTAATGAACTATTTGGTTCGTCCTTCAAACGAATTAATCAATGTTTACATACATCGACAAATACCTTTAGACCTATACATATTTATTTTTCCCGATCGGAATGGGTAGATCGCGACATTGTTGACATAAAGACAAGTGATGGTTGACATAAAAAGAGATGATGGTGGGGATAAGGTACATATTCTCAAATAATGTGTTGATTAGTTATTTGAAATATGACAAAATCATACATTGTTCATTACAACTGTTCAAGAACAATAATCTTCTCTTCTTTACAGTATTCTTCTCTTTTCACACACAAGTTTCGCAACACATTCAAGGTGAAATTCCAAAAGAAAAATTGAATAATTGCCGAACTCATTTCTTGGTGGCTTTTTGGTGTATATCCTGAAGGTATATTAATTCTAAACCCGGCAACAACAATAGTAGGGACAAATAATATCTAAGGATATTGATCATCATCACGTATCAAAGCATCAAATAACTATAAAGTAGTGCTCTGTATTTTTTTTCATTAGCATTCAAATTTCACCAACAATACATATAATCAGCCAAAGCACAAAGCACTGAACAGCATGTGCTTCTCCGGCGAATCTTATGAAGCTTGTACAAACACCCATCACTATCTTAGAGCACTCAGACACACCCCCAAAGCTAAAAGACACGCATAAGGTAAAAAGCTCTCTCCAAAAGCCAGACCTCGATCAATAATGTATCCCTAATTAAGGGGCACGGATTCGAATAAAGCCGACACAATATGGACCTTGGTTTCGTTATCGGGAAGGCCGTGTCCGTCTCCATACTGGTAAAAGCATTGAGAAGCTCGTGCCAAGTTCAAGCAGGCACCAAGAAAAGGCTTGAACCCTGGATACGGGTAGTCCTCAAACACTTCTCTATTCATCTTCTTCCAGGTTTCGCGCACCAGATGCCCAACGTGTTCCCGCGCGGCATCTTCCGAAGCGCCGGTTTCATTCATGTAGCAATCCAGCGCCTTGAAGTTGTCCCCTCGTGCCAATTCATACTGTGCACGGACCACATTGATGGGATACAAACATTAGTGCTGAGATCCATCTCACATTCGTGTCAAGTGAATCAAAAAGAATAGCCGGTCACTATGAACATGCCCGAGGATGTACTGTTTTTATAAGAGATGAAGGACAAATGTCAGTGAATTACCGATGATGTACTGAGATCATTGTTGAGTCGAAGGATCTTGCCAGAGCAGTGCATGACACTTGGAATTTTGGAAACGTAATCAACTCCCTCTTCCATTAATTTGTCTGTGGTCAGGAAGTAGCTGTGCAGCAGCATAATCAGCCCTCCGATCGAATCCACCGCATTGCCCATGTACTCCTTCAGTGTAGGTTTAATGCCCTTGTTGTACCAACGGGCCTCCTTAATGTACGCCTTGCATTCGTCCGCCCACTATAGCATTAAAATTCGAAAAGTGTGTCAATGACCAAGTCGAGGGACGTTCTTTTCTCGTACTTTTTCGGATTCTCAAATGTTTAAAGAGAAGTCCTTAAGCGAAAGGTGGAAGTTAGAGAAACGAGTTGCCCAGCTGCGGCTAGGGTTAGGAATCCACAGACATTATTAGGTGAAAGATTGAGCAGGCCGAGATTACCACTTTCCGAATGTAAGGGATAGGGTTGATTCCTCGCTCTCTCATTGTCCAATACCCAATTTCGTTGGTTGTGTTGTACAGGGCCAGAAAACAAGCCCTAATTGTTGGAGGAAGCTTATCGACATCTGTGATGTCCCACCTAGATAAAACATCACAATTTCACTAGTTTTGTAAGTTTTACACAATCAAAATACTTTCTGGTAATAATGATGAAAATTAGTGCTTATGTTACTTTATTAGCTCAAATTAATCAATTGCATAGAGGAAGAAAAGCTAACCTAAAAAATGATATGTCCAAAACACATCAAAGAATTTAATTCATAAAATATAATTCTCAAGATCTGTTTTATCCATCTCATTCCATCATTCATAGACTCATTAATTCCCTATCTTTGTTCTTGGCAATATTAGTTTCAAGGGAAAATGATGATGGCGACAATATCACACGAACCTGACAATAAAATCTGTTAAGAGCTCAAGCTCTTCCAGCGTCCCGTACACATCATAAACATCATCAATAAGTGTCACCATACTAGTGATCTTGGTCGTCATTTCTCTGAAATCTGTATATTGAGGTTCAAAAACCATTGCACAGCACCAAAAATAGTGTTCAACTAGCCTGTCCCTACAGAAGGTCATCTCATTCGCTCCAAGTTCAACCCACCACCTGAAAAATTTGCCATGTGATGACTAAGTCGATCAAAATGCGGTCCTACGTGTGTCGTATTTGCATGAATTTATATCCTCACGTCAAATGCATCTATCAACTATGTATGGAGTGCTTGCGGATACCTTGCCATGTTGCTAACTTCCTTCTTATGGATTGATTGCACTATATTGAAGTCTAATTTAGCCAATCGTAGCAAAGAAGGGATCCTGTCTTGCTGTTTCTCGTACATGTCCATGAACCACCGAGCCTCCAACCTATTTGGCCTCCAGTGGATCGGCATATCTAATGCATGACTCACGTCGCTCACTAGATTGGCGGGAACGTCGTCGAGGTTTAGATCCTTCAGATGCTTAGAAGCAAAGTTCCCAGCTTCCTCAACTATGGTTTCACCTTCCAGTCCATGAAAAGAAGCCTCATAAAGACCAAGAAGCCCCTTCACATCCTTCTCGAGCGATTCGTGGAACGTACCCGTCTTGTTCATAAACCTTTGGAACACATCTATACGTCCAACAAAAGGAATGGTAAGATAAATCTTGCTGTGTCAACATTATTTGCAAAAGGTTAGCGAGTGGCTACTACCTTGCGGTACTTTATATCCATGTTGCCTCAGTAGCCGGAATCGAAGGGAAGCGGCATAGAGATCGTCTGAAAGCTGAACATCTTCAGCGTTGTTATAGAGGGAACTGAGGGCATTCTTGATCTCCGTCTCGAAATGGTATCCGAGCCCTAGTCTTTGAACTACGTCAATGAACTCGAGCTCGGCCACCTGATTCATCTCCCTGTGGAATTGACCCTTGACTTCTTCCTTCAACCTGTGAACTTGCTCTGTATATTTATCCACCTAGGCACATGAAAAACTCAGAAAAATGAGATCTTTATCAAAGTTAATGCATAAGCAGAATTGAATTTTGTTTCGAGTGTTGAAACAGATCGATCCTCATGCTATTTGCAAAAACATTTGAGTAAGCATTGTTGAGCTCTCGCCTATATATTGAGAATACAAATCTAATTCACAAGAAGTACACATGCACATATCTTAATCACAACACAGTAATCCTTTTGTTTCAATGTCGTTTTGGCATTATTGGACTCTATCTCATCAAGGAAAACAGAATACAGGGAAAAATTGCAAATTCGATCCCTGAACTTATGTTTTTTTTCCTTTTTCCTGTTCTCAATATGGTCCTTGAACTTAAAAATATGTACAATCGAGTAATTGAACTTGTAGAACTTAGCCGATTAAGTTCTTCATCAAATTGTCGAAATTTAGTTAAACGTATCTTTGGTTATTGTCCTTGTAATTTCAAGATTTGATTGTCCAAATGGCGCTGAGTTTTTCCACATCATATGTTCAGCTAGCATTGACACGCACTCGAGCTCCAATTTGCCACTACAGACCAAGAAATTTTGACAGGAAATTTTTCCACAAGTTCGAGTCCCAAGTTGGGAAAAGAATACAAATTCGGGACCAAATGCGAATATTTCCCATATAACTTAAGCTAGGCTGGGTTGTGTGCTGTAAAAAAGAAAGAAAGAGAATCATTACCGCAAAATCAGCATCGAGTGACTGCACAAAGCCATAGTCCCAAACGCTAGGTTTCCAATTCGCCGAACGTCTCGTGACATCTTGATCCTCAACGTTCAAAGCGCATCTTGCGAATCGAGCGCCGGGGGAGACGGCGGCGGAACGAGGGCGACCGAAGAGTGAGAGAGAGGGTTGGCTAGGGCGGATTGAGGAGGGGAGGAAGTTTGTGAGCGAAGCAAGAAGAGCCATTGCGAAATACGTTGCTGAGTCTCTTAGTATGCTAAACCGTCCTTTATATAGGCGTTGGTGAGGGAGCACTGGTTGATCATGGAACATGATGGTATAGCTGCTTTCGGAGTACGTTTTCCATTTATCCGTCCCATCCACTAAGCATCGTGATTTATGTATTTATCTTTTGATTTAGGCTCTGTTTGTTTCGCGCAAAACGATCAATTTGGAAAATATTTTATTAAAAATTATCGTTTGCATCGCTTACAAAAAAGATTGGACGAAAAATATTTTCACATTCTACGAAAATATTTTGTTATTGTCAATAATAAAGATATTTTCCATCGACTAATTTTTCTAAGTGGTGCAAACGGTCATATTTAGGAAACATTTTCCATATCGTTCATTTTTCGCGAAGCAAATGGCGCCTTAATCTAAAAAATGATCGTCCTCGGCACACTATGAATGGTATGGACAAACAAGCCCTCAATTATCATCGTACTTAGAAATTTCAATGACTCTTTTGATTTTAATCTTTTTCACCTCGGGGCTCTTATATTTACCCCTTTTTTCTCGCCTGAAAAGTCTTCTCCATCGATCGGTGTCCCCCATCAAAGAGTTTTTCAAAATTAAGTAGACAAATGAAGTGATTACTGATTTTATCATCCCGAGCACGACGTTAAAAGGGTTCATCTCAGGCCTCGTCTGAATCTCGAGATCCCTGAGATGCAAAGCAAGTCGAAAGTATTACCTGGGAAGGGATAAGAAAAATATACCTACCCAATTAGGGGTGCGAGGCGTACAGATACCGCTACGTTAAAATAAAGATTAGATCTTAGCAGCTGGCGCCACGGGACGAGGACAAGCTCACGAGGTCTGGGGAGCGAAGAAATTCCAATCCCCCCTCCCCCTCTTTTTAGTGACGTGACCCTTCAAGGGACTTTACATATCGCGAGTTTTTCAAAATCAAGTAAACCAATGAAGTGACTAAAGCAAGAGGCCGGGGACCATCGCAAATCACGTTTTCCTATTGCTGATCTCGATGCCCAGCAATCGCAGATCATGTGTGGGTGGGGCAATTCTTTATACTTGGTAAGGGATTGAAGCAAAGTCACAGCAAATGAATTATGAGGAGTTGGAGAACAAGAGGGACAGATCCATTCTACGGACATAAAAAATGCGGACATCTTTCTTGCACCGTGTGGTCATTTCCTCGTGTTTCATGGTATTGATCTCGCTTTCCTTTGCTTCTCTGCTCTCCTCGTGCTTTCTTTCCTCTCTTTTTCTTCTTCTCCCAGAGGAGAAATCTTGCCCTTTTTCAATTATTAATGATTTGCCCTTTGATCATAGCGAGCCGAGCACGTGCAAAATTGAATAAACGTGTAAAATGAGAGGAAAAAAATGATAGATCGAGAGCGGGTTCGAATAAGAAAAAGCAATTCCTATTATTCTATGAAGGGATGAACTCTGCTGTTGCTTATTGTGAAACCCATCTGGTGTTCCCTCCACGAGATACGCCCGTTTAACACGATTATGCGGTTTTCTATGCTTTAGAAAGCTTATAATCTGATCTTTCTATAACTATCATTCAAGTCAAAAGTGTTGCGGAAGCCAAACGATCGAATAATAAATTTGATAGAATAAGAAAATAAATCGGATATCAAATTTACGTGATTCGATCGTAATGATCAACGTTCACGGGGACAGCAGCAACGAATTCCATTTTAGATCGAGCGATACAACGGAGATTATAGCCACACTCGAGTTACTCAAACACTCTAAGTGTTTTCTAAGCCCCAATTACACTCAATAGCTCATACAGTGTTTAGCTCTATAATTCATTACGAAATAATATCTTAATCTCGCGAAGGAATTATACATAAATCTTACCATAAGATTTAATCAGCTTGAATATTAATTCTTTTTTGAATGTAATTCACGAAGGAAACCAACTACCAAGCACTCGCAAGGTAGCGGGGCTTGAAGAAGTCTTCGTTGAAAGCATCCCCTGACCATGAGCATATATATATACATGATATCCACCGCCTGAATAGTAGTCCCACGTTGGTCAACAAAAGAAGTCCACGCCTGGGATCAGGAAACAAAATCCAGCCATGCTTTTCTTTTCTTTTCTTTTTATTTTATTTCTTCTTTCCACTTGAGCACAATATCCTTTCCTTTCTTTCTTTGTTGACCGACTTCAACGTGGAAGCTCCATGTTCGACTTTCCTGTTTCAGCGGGCAAAGACTCCGATGCACATTCCAACTTTAATTCGGAATTTGATTTCGTATATTTTCCTTTGCTAACTTTCGGACTTCCGTAAAATAATATTTAATCTCATATCGGGTTTTGTCTGTCGGGCTCAAACTCGAGACATATTTTAACAAAAAGAACAAATTAAACGTATTGAGTTTCATGAGCCATTAATATTCCCGTGGTTAAAAGATGTGATATCTTCATATTTCAATCTTTAAATCAAAACGTATCGGGTATCATTAGAATCGAGGGACTATTATCCTCAAACATGCACAAATCCAACACAAACGACAGCACTCCCATGTTTGGAATGGAGGTTGAACATGGCCCTATGACTAACCCTTCAATCATTTGGGCTGATTCATCTATTGTTTGCCTTTTTGTGCCAGGTTGAACGTGACGAAAGGGGAAACCTAGCAAAGAATAAGTGAGAAGTGTAATGTACTCGTCCTCGGGAAAGTCTTTTCTGCAAGCATCCCTGTGCGGGGAAGTCCATCCAAGGGCAATTGATTTGAGAAAGAGGGTTAATTATAATGGCTTTCCAAGTTTCTCAGCTAGCGGAGTTCGTCCCAGCCTGCGCCAGGCGCTAGGTTCGGGCTCTCCACCCTTTACGACGCGAACACAAGCCTCCTCGACGTGGAAAACTTCACTTCGTGGCCTCAGGAACCACCATCCCAAGGGAAATGTAAGTCGAAATTTTCTCGACCGTGCTTTTCTTCTTCCTCCTCCTTCGTCGTTTTGGTTCTGACCATTTGCTTGTGTTTTCCTCCTCAGCTGCTGCTTCTAGGAGCTGCTCGCCCTCAACATTGCTCCCGTCGGCTTCCTAGACGTGCTCACAGGCACTGCTCTCGCTTGGCATTCGACATCCTCGACATTCGGAGGCTGTTCCAAGTGATTGGAAGACAATCCTGTCCCGTAAGAAAAAACCAATACGAAAATGGGAAGAGTCAAAGAGAGAGGGAGGGGAGTAGGTTCCCTTGGACCTATGGATGTTAATCTTTTCACTTACGGTTGTTCATAGTAATAAAAAAAGAATCAGAATCACATTTCTTGACGAAAGATGAAAAAAGAATAATTACTTACGATGCGTCGACTGTGTGTACTCCAATTATTTACGATTTTTTCGATGGCTGAACAATCATTGATATACACTTTAACCTCATAGGGCCGATAATTAGCCGATTTACATGGAAATTGTATGACCTTTTACCGTCACTGATTAAGACCATGATTAATGTAGTATTACCTGGCATAAATTAAACTAACCGACTTTAACGACAATGTCCATCACTTTTAGTCCGGCTGTAAAATTCAAGATATTTCTTTGATAAGGTGATTCGAATAAATTCATATTTTTCATTTTCACTCTAGTCATTGATCTTCAAATTACCAACTACTCTAAAGTGCGATACCGATCCAAATGAATTATAGTTCATTGAGATCGTAGTTTCGATCTCCTTTTTTTTAAAATTTTTTTGAAGATATAGAAAATTAACGAAAAAAAATTAAGGTAAACTCTTAGAATTAAGGAGTATTTATTCCTTAATTCTCATACCATGACGTTATATTTCTTTTTTTTCCTCTTTTCTCATGATATCACATGAGGATCACTCTAGTTAGTAGATCAACCAGCGCAATCTTCACCGTTGGACATGGAGATGTGTGCTATGTGTTTTGGCTAGCGTCGGTCACGGACAATCCTTCTCCATCGGCGTATTTCCGGCATCCTCGCTCACAGGATTAGAGAAAACCTTTTGCAATCCCATTGTATGTCGTGGAAGTTTTGGCGAGCTTACTCTGTAGTTTTCTTCTCTAGCTCAGCTTTCCACGTTAAACTTCTTGTGTCCCAATTTTACATTGCCGGGCTGATTTGTTGCTGCAGTTTTCAGCATGCTCTTATAATTAGACAAAGAGGGGAGTAGAAATTTTCCCGGTGTCATATTATCTCTAGTGTGCATTGTGTGACGTGGTCGCGGCACGGGCTTTTCTGCAACAGCTTGTTATCGAAGCGCGCTTTATAGTCTCATATAAAAGTTCATGCTCTTACATGAGGATAGTACATTCGGTGACTTCTGTTTACATAACAATATGGTATCTAATAATCGGTACTTTAACAAGACCATGTTTATTCGGAATTGATCTTGCAGACGATCTTACTGACCTTTCTTGCAGATGATCTCACCGTATGTGCTACGAGGCAGGTAAGTTATTCAAAGGTATTATTGTTAAAGAGATACTAGATTCATAGAGGATCGGCCTCGATCTCATCGGCTAATCTTTGAGTCAACTGGTCAGCTCGGTCATCTTGTCCGCCCGCAAAGTCATAGGCGCAAAACGCGAGTTGAAAAGCTCGCCAGAGCAACTTTACGCATGTTGTACTTTTGCTCTCGGTGATGGTTATGCGAGCCCCCTTGGTTGCTGCTTTTATCTCTCTCCGTTCCTGGACAAGATTTTTTAAGCCGAAATACATAAACAATGTATCTTCTTTTCTCTAGTTGTTTGCACTTGTAAGTAAATCGTACCTCCAGTGCCAACTCTATGCAGCCTGAAGAAACATCCACCATCGATTCTTTAATTCAAACCAAAATGCCGAAATCAAAGTGAATGTTTTGGCTCAGGAAACCCTTCGTCTCTTCGTCTTTGCTCCTCTCTAATGCATCCACCTCTCCTTTGATCTGTCGCCAACATTTTTTCCCCCAATTAGTATGACACATATATAGTATAGGCACAAGGTATGTCTCTACAGGTAGAGGTACTTGGAGCCTACCTCGTTGAAGTATGATTCGACTTTGTCAAGAAGCTGGCTCAAAGGAGGGATTACTTTCCAGTTCTCTAGCTCAGTAGCTATGCCTTCCAATCTTGAATAAAGCTCTGCCGCCATCCTCAAGGCCTCGAGCTTCTTTGTTGGGAAGCCCTCAAACGTTGCCAAAACCTGATTTCGACTTAGTCCAGAAGATTTTCCAGGTTAAAATGACCCCACTGCTAATGACTGAAAGATAAACAAATGAGAGTAACTTTGTCTCAACATTTGGTCTCTCCACCCATTGTTCTGACATATTTTGATGTGGAAATGTAAGAAGTTCGGATCACTAGAAAGTGGAAGATAACAGAACGAAAGTACCTGTGTCTCATCGGTTAACTTCTCCAAGCGCTGTTCGACGAACTTGTGGAATTTAAGGAGTTCAGACATGTCCTTCGTTTGAAAAGTACTGATGGCTGCTTTTATCTCCTTAATCAAATTGCTGTGCTCTCGGACTTCTTCTTCAATCTGTTGAAAATATGTTGATCTATAGAACCAAATGAAGCCACAATGTGGCTATTTAGTTTTTTTGCTCACTAACTCACTGCGACAAGGGAATATATATCAATACCAGTAGAGGAACCTGACCTTTCAGCGATCTCTGCCATGGCATCGGCCATTCCTTGTTTCCCTCCTGAAGACCCTCCGACTGGTGTTCTTTTGCCTTTCGATGAGTTTTGGTTTTTCTCTCCACCTTCTACCTTTGCCTTCAAGTTTCTGTACAACTTGCTCATGTTTGTAGATCTCTCTAGCTTGGTATTTGCTTTCTTGGCACGCAGAGCTTTTGCCAAACTACCTGGAGGAGGTGGTGGAAGTGCACCTCCCCTGGATGGTGGCATGGGGGGCAGTGGAGCTGATGATGATCCTTTACTTGGTGGAATTGGCGGTGGAGGTGGGGGCAGAGTTGTCTCTGGTTTATTGAATGATAAAGACGAGTCCCCTGGTAGCGTAGCTGGAGGAAGAGGAGGCAGCAGTGGCGGCAGTGGTAGGATTGCTACATCTAGGCCTTCCGTTCTCGGCTTCTTCACATCTGAACTAACACTTTGTATATCTTGGAAACCATCTGATTTTATAAAATCCTTTGTCCCGTGGTTACTTTCTTCTGCAGGTAGTCTTCCAACAACTGCTTCATTTTCGGGAGTCGACACGTCTGGTTTCTTGTTCATGTCACCACCTTCTAAAAGGTTGTGGCTCTGCATTGGTGCATGAGAAAGGGTGTAGAATGGGAAACACTTCATGTCGAAAATCTTTAGTTGCTTCACCGCTTGAATTCGGAGAGGCAGAAGAAATGGAGGCCTGAAAGAGATGTCAGTGAATTCGGGCGGCCTCATGGAAGGATTCAGCTCGGGCGGGAATGATGTCGGAGTGTCAGGTGAGGAACAGGTACTTTTGTTGTCCAAGCAGGACTCACTCAAGGTCTCCCCAAAAACATTACTCTTTTCGTTGCTGTCACTGATTTCCTCATCTTCATCCATCGCATCAAATAACTCCTTTGCAATGTTAATCATGTGATGGAGCTTGGCAAGCACTCTGGCACCTAAATGAAACGCAGTGCTCTTAGTCTAGGAAGCATCTAAAAATAATCTAATCGGATAACTTACCGAGTTGATCTAAATCGACACTGTCCGTTCCATCTTCAGCAATATCTCCAGTATGGGGTATCCGCTAGTTGTTTTTCGCCCACAAGTTTCTGACGGATCTTAGAGCACTATATAGATGGATCAGTCCCTATGCGAGTGCCCTCTTGTTAGTTGATGTATTTAATAGATGAAAGTAACAAGTCAGATTCGAATTTCGCTAATTGTCAACGGACCTGACGTACTGATATTTCTACTCTTCCCGAGTTCAAATTGGCTGATACGACGTCAGGATATAACTCGTGCAGATCTTCAACGGTTCCAATCATCAGCTGAAGCAAGACATGTACCAGGAATTATTAGTCACGGCAAGTAAACCAGCTTGTGAACAAAAACTTTCATAAGCGCGAGGGTAACCGTCATGTGACATACTCAAAGTATTCAATAATTTCTCGTAGCATACCCACCGTGCGTAACTCAATATACAACCTCCGTGGGAATTTGGAAATTGCACTCATATATTATTTTAGAATAAGGAATTGGCATACTCCTTGTAACTTTCGAAATTGCACTGGTGTTCCTTTTAACCTCCTAGGTAGTACACAATATTATTGTGATTAATCATAATCATATGCGTCTACATGTTGGGCAAAATCGTAAGTAAAAAGACTCTACATCGCGATATAAATGAATCTTAAATCTCTAACGGTTCTCTCAATTAAAATTTGAAATTTTATGTCTTACAATTATTTAAGATAATTCCTTTTTTTCTAGATGGACTAAATCTTGCAACGATCACCTTTTTCATTGACATACATCTATACGAGACCTGGCAAAACAAACTCGAACCCAATGATCACCTTGAAAAATAGGGTATTTAGAACCTGCAAAACATCGAGTCAACCCGACCTTGACCCATATATTTCCGGGTTGGGTCAAATCAACCCGGCTTAACCCTTTTGACCCAGCATAAGAATAATCTTCTTCCTCCTGTTTTTTGGGCTTGAATCATCATTGAAAATTTGAAATAGTCAAAGTCACACTACAGTCATGATATGCGTAATAATACCTTAAGTCAAAATAATTTGAATATCGTAGGCATACTATAATTTGCCTTCTGAATTTGTTTACATGATGTGACGAAATTCTGTTTGGTGCTTAAAGGAAAAGTCCATTGACTTAAATAATTTAGGAATATGATAATATTTTCAGTATTTGACTGAAACCTGAATATGAACTAGAAAATATTTTTCACCATTTGGTATAGAAAATTTGATTTGATTTTCCTTCGTGCACTTCTTTTAATAATTTTTTAATAATTTTTTTCTTTTCTTTTTTTAAAAAATTGAATTTTTAATTATCAATTATTTTTATTTTTTATTTTTTTATTTTTCCTTCTTCTTAGGCCACTTGCCAGCCACAGGCGAGCTCAAGCCTCGCCACAAGCCGGCGAGGTTGGAGCTTGCCAAAGGTAGGCAAGCTCGAGCTCGCACGTGGCCTGTTGCCGGCTGTCGCCATGGCCGGCGATTGGCCGAAGAAGAAGAAAAAAGAAAAAAATAAAAATAAAATAGAGAAAATAAAAATTAATTGCTTTTTTTTAAAAAGAAAATAAATAATAAATAATAATTAAAAGGATTGCATGGAGGAGAATGTGGCCGGTCACCGGCCGTCACCATGGCTGGCGATTGGCCGAAGAAGAAGGAAAAAGAAAAATTAAAAATAAAATAAATAGAAAATAGAAAAATTAAAAATAATTAAAGTTTTGATTTTTTTTAAAAATAAAATAATAATAATAATTAAAAGGAGTGCATAGAGGAGAATGTGCTTGGTCTGGGTGAAAAAAAGAGGAGGCAATCGTTTTCTCCACTTTTGAAAGTGTTTTTTCCATTGGCGAAAAATGTTTTGCTTGACTAGTTTATTTTCTATGAAAAAAAGGCCAGAAAATCCGGAAAATCAAGGAAAGGGTTAAGGTAATAAGTTAGGAACTTCACCTATATGAACATAAGAAGTGATGTCGCTTCTAATAAAAGTTGGATGAATTTTTGTAAATGTTCATGAATCCAAGAGGAAGCACAAGGCCATAAAAGTGCTAAGGCATAAGAAATTTCTAACTAGATGTGTATAAGTTCATATGTGTGATAATTCAATTAACAAATGGAATCATGATTCAAAATTTTATCTACCATTGATTTCGTTAATAGAATTGTTTACACTAATTAAAGGTTTAAATCTTAACAGATACGTTCTTGTATGTACAAATTTGTGTAAATTAGTACATATAACAAACTAAGTGGGGGATTGTTGAAATAGTTTGTTGTCATGAAGAGACATGATTGTTGAACATGAAAAAAAGATGATTGTCGGATATGAAAAGAAGTAATTGTTGACATGAATAGAAGTGATAGTTGATCATGAAAAGTGATGATGGTGGGGATAAGGTACATATCTCAAGAAATGTGTCGATTGGTTATTTGTAAATAAGACCAAATCATACATTAATCATTACAATTATTCAAGGAGAGTAGTCTTCTCTTCTTCATAACTCTATGTTCTTTACAATATTCTTCTTTTTTCACACATAAGTTTCATAACACATTCAAGATAAAATTTCAATAGAAAAATTGAGTAATTGCCGAACTCATTTCTCTGTGATTTTAGTGTATATCTTGAAGATATATTTGTTTTAAACTCGACAGCAACAATAGTGGGGATAAATAATATCTAAGGACAATGATCGTCATCACACATCAAATAACTATAAAGTACTGATCTATTTTCATCAGCTTTCAAATTTCCCCAACAATTTACGTAGTCAGACACAACACAAAGCACGGAACAACATGTGCTTCTTGGGCGAATCTTATGAAGCCTGTACAAACACCCATCACTATCTTAGAGCATCCCTAATCGAGGGGCACGGGTTCGAATAAAGCCGACATAATATGGACCTTGGTTTCGTGATCAGAAAGGCCATGTTCGTCTCCATACTGGCAAAAGCACTGAGAAGCTCGTGCCAAGTTCAAACCAGCATTGAGAAAAGGCCCAAACCCGGGATACAAGTTGTTCTCAAACACAGCTCTATTCATCCTCTTCCAGGTTTCACGCACCAGATGCCTGATGTGTTCCTGTGCGGCCTCTTCTGAAGCGCCAGTTTCATTCATGTAGCATTTCAGCGCCTTGAAATTGTCCCCTTGTGCCAATTCATACTAAGCACGGACGACATTAATGGGTTACAAACATTAGTCTCGTGATTCATCTCACATTCGTATCAAGTGAATTATAAAAAATTGCACGTCACTATGAACATGCCGATGATGTATTGTTTTTATAAGAAATTATTTACAAGGGGAAGGACAGATGTCAAAGTAAATTACCGATGATGTACTGAGATCATTGTTGAGTCGAAGGATCTTAGAGGAACAATGCATGAGACTCGGGATTTTCGACACGTAATCAAGTCCCTCTTCCGTCAATTTGTCCGTGGTCAGGAAGTAGCTGCCCAACAGCACAATCATCCCTCCAACTGAATCCACCGCATTGTCCATGTACTCCTTCAGTGTAGGTTTAATGCCGTTGTTGTACCAACGGGCCTCCTTTATGTACGCCTTGCATTCATCCGCCCACTATAGCATTAATATTCCAAAAGTGTGTCAATGACCACCAAGTCGAGGGATGATCTTTTCTCCTACTTTTTCGGATTCTCAATGTTCAAAGAGAAGTCAAAAGCGAAAGGTAGAAGTAGAGAAACGAGTTGCCTTGCACGGGCTAGGGTTAAGAATCCATAAAATTTTATCACTTGTGCAATCAAGTTTTAAAACTTGTCAAATTAATTCAATAGAATCCTTCCATTAACTTCGTCCAATTTGGCTAATGAAAAATACCGACGTGACTTTTATTTTATTTTATTTTATTTATTCTACATAGCAATGACGTGGCTAAAATGACGTCGTTTTGATATAAATTTAATTTTTAAAATAAATTTTATTTAACAAATAAATTAAATTTAAAAAAAAGTATAAGGGGAGAAACTAGGTTGGGAGGGTTGCAAGTCCTTGCCGCCGCCGCCCCACCATCGCCGAGAAGCCTAGCCAGGACCCGGCGACCCTCACTGACCATCCCCCACCATTGTTGGCCCTTCCTGGCGATGGTAGGGCGGCAGTGGCAAGGGCTTGTAGCCCTCCCCGCTGGTTTCTTCCGTTTTTTTTTAAAAAAAAAAATAGTTTTTTTTAAAAATTTAATTTAAATAAAATTTGTATTAAGAATCATATTTGGACCAAAACTACGTCATTTTAGCCTTATGTTCCATGATTTAGCCACGTCATTGCCACGTAGGAGAGAGAAAATACTAAAAAATGACATGTCAGCATTTTTCGTTAGCCAAGTTGGACGGAATTAACGAAAGGACACAACTGAATTAATTTGACAAATTTTAGGACTTGATTGCACTTTTTTCAAATTTTAGAACTTAATTGCACTTTCGTGACAAATTTTAAGACCTCCAATACACATATCCCTTAGATCAAAGATTGAGCAAGGCGAGATTACCACTTTTCGCATGTAAGGGATAGGGTTGATTCCTCGCTCTCTGATCGTCCAATAACCAATTTCGTTGGTCGTGTTGTACAAGGCCAAGAAACAAGCCCTTATTGTTAGAGGAAGCTTATCGATGTCTGTGATGTCCCACCTAGATAAAATATCACCATGTCAACAATTTTATATGTTTTACCGTCAATCGAAATACTTTTTAGTAATAATGATGAAAATTAGTGCTTACTGTTACTTTATTAGCTCAAATTAATCGATTACATAGAGGAAAAAATGCTAACCTAAAAAATGATATGTCCAACGCACATCAAAGAATTTAATTCATAACATATAATTCTCGGGATCTGTTTTGTCCTTCGCGTCAATCATAGACTTATTAATTCCCTATCTTTGTTCTTGGCAATAGTAGTTTCAAGTGAAAATAATGATGGTGCTAATATTAGACGAACCTGACAATGAAATCTGTTAAGAGCTCAAGCTCTTCCAGCGTCCCATACACATCATAAATGTCATCAATAAGTGTCACCATATTAGTGAGCTTCG